GTACAGGGAAGATGGTAAATTTGCTTTAATTTCTAAGGTTTATTTTTTGAGAGAGAGCATAAAGGAGGGGCAGAGAGAGAGAGAGTAAGAAAGAATCCCAAGCAGGCTCTGTGCTGATAGCGCAGAGCCCGACACGGGGCTCAAACCCACACACCCTGGGATCATGACCTGAGCCGATGGAGAGCCAGACATACTTAACGGACTGAGCCACCCAGGCTCACCCAGTAAATTTACTTTTTTAGAAGAAATGAAGGGAGAAATTTATTTGTGGGGAAAAAATGTATGTATGTTTGCTGGATTTAAATTATCTCATTTCGTTCTCAAAACCCTTCTCAGGAGGTTCTTTTATGCCCTTTATACCCTCCTGTGGAAACCGAAGTCGTATGGGTGGGCTTCCAGGGGGACTCAGCGACCACCCAAGCCCCGGGGCACTGCGTCGTGCTGCTGGTGCCCAAGCGGGTCCACCCGCTCCAGGCGTCGTGGGGACCCTTCAGCGGCCCTGGAGCCCGGCTCAGCAGCCCTTCTGCGGTTGTATTCTTCTGAGATGTGCGTCGTCGTCTCCCCGCCATCTCGTCTCTCTGTCTCGGGTGGTGTGAGGATGCTTTGACTCTGGAATGGCTCTTCCTGTGTGGCGTGGCGTGGCGTGGCTCTTCTGGCCTCTCGCAGTCTCGGAAGTGTGCTCGGGACCCCTGGTGACACAAGCCAGGAGCAGCAACGACGATTGGCATGGGCAGTCAGGGTGCATCTTTCTGGTTTATTGAGGTTCCAGAATATTCCTCAAGTTCCTGTGCCTGCTAGGGTTAGTCCTGGGCTGAATCACTTTATACTGTTAGACTGCCTGTGTTTGAAGCAGCGGCAGTCCTGGGCTCTCCCGCTTTGAGTAAAAGCAGCTGGCGCAACCGGGGTCGGGGAGGCCACGATTTCCTTCAGCCTGTCCACTCCTGAGTCACACGCCAGCGACGGACAAACCAGCTTCCTAAGTGTCTTCGCTTTTATGGGCTGAGTACCCAACGTCCCGTGAAGCATGACACTGTCTGTAGTTCTTACGTTCCCAGCTTGTGCCGAGGAAGTGGCTTGTACAGAATTCCTAGGAAGAACGCATCCTTCGTCTTCAGCCAGTGTGAGTGGCTCCGTGGCCCGGGGGCCCCAGGGCCCTTGTGATCCGCACACCCGCAGCCCTCTCGTGGCGCCCGCCACATGCCGTTCCTCCCCGCCAGCATTTCTGCACACAGCGCCCTCGGCCCCAGCCGCGGAGTTTGTACTTGCCGGTCCAGAGCCTTGCCTGGGACACTCTCTTCCGGTGTAAGTCACGGGCGCATCGCTGGGTGCCTGCGGGAGCCTGTTCACACTTCACCAGCGAGTCTCTCCTTGCCCCTCCCCGGAGCTAGCCTGCCACCTGCCGCGTGGCCTGGCCGCCTGCCCCGTGTCTCCCCCGTCCGATATGCTCGGAATGGTTCCTGTTCCTCCGTTTTTACATTGTTCCCTCCCAATAAGAGGTAGGAGCTTTCAGTGCTCCTTTTCTGTGGAACGGTCCCTTGCATGAGAAGGTGCCAAGTAGTTGTTGAATGAACGAATGAATGAATGAATGCATGCATGCCATATGCAAGCTAGTAACTTAAATTGTTAGGGTTTTACAGGAAGAAAATACACTTACTTCCCAATGCTGCCAGCTGCTCTGGGGCAGCAGTGCATGAAGCAAGCTGATGTTGGGCTCAGGTAACTGTGTCACATAATCGAGTTTGCTGTCAATGCGGGATTTAAAGTGCTCACGTCACTGTTTATAGCTTCCACTTTGAATTAAAATTGTAGGAAGTTGTATGCTTATTAAATGCAGACTTTTTTTATTTAGTCATTTTTCTGATGTTCCCGAAGAACTAAAAACGAGGTATGTTTTAAGGAAATGAATGGCTTTCTCAAATCGCACAGGGGCCGGTGCCGTTGACTTGCCACTAGATAGTTACCCCCAGTGCTATGGCCGCCCTGTCGCTCTTGCTGGTGTAGGAAGGGAGGTGGGTCCTGGCTTTGACTGTTAGAGCCGAAAGAGAAGACTGCCGGAAGCTTCTGCGTCAAGGAGAGATTTCCTTAAGGCCCAGAGCGGCAAAGCAAGACGTGGATCTCTGCTTCAGGACATCCTGTGGTCCAGGAGAGGAGCCTGCAGCGGGGGAAGCCCAGACTGGTGGCGGGAGGGAGAAGCCAGCACTGAGAGCAAGCCCACCCACGCCGTCCTCCTCCTGAGGGTACATAGCGAATGTCCTTCTCCCTCGAGCCAGTGTGAGTCGAGCCAGTATGGGTCAGTGTTTTGTTATCTGCAGCCCCCGGGAGTGTCAACACTGAGGACGTTCATTTCATAATGTAATTTTGAGTATTTATTTCAGTGCTATCTCCTTGCCATTTGGACCTCACAATAAATAAATCCAATTTGAAAGCCTTTCCTTTGTGAATTTAACTTATGTGTATATTTTCTCCTGTTTAATATTTTGTTTACTTTTGCCTTAAAATCTTATATGAGACCTGGATTTACCACTAAATGGATCTGGGTGACAGTATAATTTCTGGAAACAGCAGAATGAAAGCTTGTAGGACTAATTCTTCCATATGGCTTATCAAATTAATAAGAATTAGTCTAGAGTGTGTGTGTGTGTGTGTGTGTGTGTGTGTGTGCACGCACACGTGTGTGTTTTAATTTCAGAAAGTTCATAGGAGTCTGGGGAAGGAGATGTGCTAATGTGATCCTCAGCTTCTTTGAAGTTCACAGTACTATTTATTTTTGCACTGATTTCACCTCTGGAAAAATTGCTGTGACCCGGTACCATTAAACTGAAAATTCACCTGCCCCTTTGGACAGAAAAGAAAACTGCACAATATTTTCTCTTGTTATGTGCTTTTGTTTTCTCCTGTGGTTTTACAATTTCAACTTTAGAGACAAATAACTCCAGTTGATCTAGAGAAAGCTGACAATGAGGAGGACTGTATGGCTAAATATTGGTAATGCTGGTCACTTTCAAACACTTTTCCCATCAAAAATTGCTTTCAAATGAAACTTTTCGAAATCCAATAAGAAAGGGATTTTCAGGCAGTTTAACTCTTTATTGGGGAGGAGGGGTGTTTCACTGCTTCTTGAATCCAGGGAGCACAGTTTGAAAACCTGCTGCCTAGAGGATTAGTGCAGAGTGACCCATTGATTTTTCACCCAAAATGAGATACTTTTGAGGGTGAGAGACTTGCACCAGCACAACAGACTCCCCTGGGACTGTCCCGGGCAAATTAGCCCCCTGGTTCGGTGGTGGGTGCCAGAGCCCGGATATGACTCTGTCTCCTTGGTAATAGTAGGAGGAAATTGACTTGGATCCCCTTTCCCACCTTTAGCCTCACTAGGGTAGCCGAGGAGCCGTGGCCTTGCAGAAGACCTCTGCAGCCATTGACCCCAGCAGAGTAGCCACGCCACTGGCTGTGTTCGGCCCCTGAGCAAGCGTTTACCAGGCACCTGTTACGAGCCAGGCATTTTCTGCGGTGCTGAGAGTACCAAGGTGAATTCCAGGGTTGCGAAGGTTTATCCTGTTCATTCAGCAGAACTTAGCAACGAGTAATAGTTCCATACCTGTTCCATTAACAACTGAGAGATGCAAGGATGGATTATTTAAATGCGAAAGAGCGTGGGAGTTTCGGTCCTGAATTGGAATTTGAAGTGTGATGTGTTTTACTAACAAGGCCTTCATCTGTACCCACCTCCCCCCTGAAATGGAACATTGAGGATCCGTGGTTATTTGTGTATTATCCCTTTGTTCGAAGTCACTATACAGTGAGGAGTAGAACACAACTGTATCCATTGATGTTTGTTTTAATAACATTAGGCTTTTTTGTGTAAATAGTGTGGAAAATAAGTACCTACGGCAAATATAAATGGTGAGGTAGAGTCCCATGTAGAGCCTTACTGTCTTTAGGATTGGGAAGAAGAAGGTGGGAATCATCTTTTTGTTCACAAGAGAAAAGTGAAAGAGACATAAACAGGGAACAGTAAGGCAAAATATAAAGAATCAAAAAGCAAGTAAAAGACATGGGGAACTTTGCAGACTGCAGTAGCATATGCACAGTAAGAGGGGTGTGAAGTGCTCGAGATTGGGAGATGCCTCTCAGTTCTCTGCTGACCTTTCACTCTAGGCTCTTGGCACGCACAACACACTTCCCCTCGTAGCGGTTGTCGGTACAGAGGCTCACTGGGGGTAGTGAAGAGCCGGCATTTGGGGAAGGGAATCGACAGACTCTTGACTCTAGTTTACCTTTCCACAGAGTTGTATTTAGTTGAGGACATATTTTAATGTTCTACATACAAAATGTCAAAAGAATTAATTCAGTCCGGTGGATGTTAGACCGGTGTTGACTTCCACATCAGCTTTCATGTTCATGGACCCTGATGTTTTATTTTCCTTAAGACATAAAAAATTTTGTTTTCATATTTCCTAGCTCTTTATAGCATAGTATGACTGTAAGTGGTACCTTTAGAAGGTTGTAAATAGTTATGCATGATTTGTTCTCATTTTTAACTACAGCTTTCAAGAAGTTTTACATAAATCAAAATATGGCATTCAAACAAATAATAAAGTTCAAGTGTATCTTAGTTGTCCTAAATGCTGAATTCAGAGCTCCAGCAGCAATTAAGTCATCATTTCTGAACACAAGGAGCTTGAACTCCTATTGAACTTTTGGCAAGTTCAGACCTGACTACGTTTTAGAGATTCGTGAACAGTTAAGCGACCGTTTTTTGTTTTATTATTATTTTTAAATGAAAGTTTAACTTAGGTGTTAAAGGCCCATGTGAAGTTAAAGAGCACACAGTTTTCCTACTTTAGTTTTTAAGCATTTCTTCATGTTTATGTAGTATGAAGTCTTGGAAACAGAGTCATTCGTACAATTGATGAAGTGTTTGAGAATATTGTTTATCCTGGTTTAATATGTCAAATGAAAAAAAGAAACTTAAGTTAACTTTGTGACTAAAAATGCAGGCCTTAAAGAAAGATCTGCTTCCGAGCCCACAGTCCCAGCGGAGGAGGCTGAGCCAATCCCTTGGCTGAGGGAGCAGGTCCCCGAGGGTTCAGGTAAGCTCGCCCCTCCCTCCAGCCTGATGTCTGGTGGGAGGTGTCCAGAGCCATGTTTTACCCATAATTTGTGCCATGGTGTTTACGGAGTAATGAAGCACTTTTTCGTCTTCTCTTTTGACATTTTGCAGTAAACTCAATGTTTTCTCCTAAAATACTCAGGAGAGGTTTAATTTTGGAGATCAAGAATCCAAGACCCAGATGGGTGTTTTTTGCCGGAGATGGCACAGTTAAGAACATCCTGAACTAAATGCTAGGTTTCTTGATTCCAGTTGCAGAACTTACAATGGGAGTATAATTAGACGTTTAGTGTTGCACTAGTTTGGTCATCGTTTGTCACGTGGTCTAGTAGAGAAGGCCTGTGAGCTCCCATTCTTCTTAATATGAGGGTCTCCTTTCTGCATCAGAGACTTCCCAGCCCTCCGTGCGATGGTGTGTGAGGCCTGTTTTACATCCATGTGAATTCAGATTAAACACTTCCTTAAGTCACCCGAGCGCCCGTGACCCACAGAATGAAAACTCCTAAAATCTATGAGTCCATTGGCAAATGAAATTTGAATCTAGTTTACTCATTTCCTGTTTATGCTGTGATATTTATTACAAAGTATATTACATTTTCTGTATACCGAGTAATTCTCCAAAATTTGGTTTCATTTTGCCACCTACTGGAAGTGTTCGGTATGACACTCCCATGTTTACTGGCACCTGAAGTGCTGTGGCTGATTTCATCACCACTGGTGAATACCACATGATTTTCCTCTCTCCCTTTTAAGATCAGTATGCTTCTCTGATCTTTTATTTGTTCAAATAATAATTCCAAGAGAATTTCCTGCCTCCCTCCCATTTCTTAGGAGTACTCCAGTCCGACTATAGCTCTGGAGCAAAAGTGTTCCTTTTTTTTTTTTTTTTTTAAGTTATATAATTTAAATGTGTCTTTGGATTTAGCATCTCAAACCTTACTTTGTACTCAATAAATTTATAATTTAAAAATCATGTTTTGCAAAGCTAATACCTACTCTGAAATGTGGTGCTATTTCTTTCTGCTATCTCTCTCTTTTTTTTTTTAAGTTTATATATTTATTGTTTTGGGAAAGGGAGTGTGAGTCAGGAAGGGGCATAGAGAAGGGGGAGAGAAGATTCCAAGTAGGCTCTACGCTGTCAGCACAGAGCCCAGTGCGGGGCTGCAACTCTCGACCTGCGAGATCATGACCTGAGCTGAAACCAAGAGTCGGACCAGCTGAACCACCCAGATGCACCTCCTCGTTCAATTTTTGTTAATGTTACTCTATATGTTGAGTGTGTGTGAGTGTGTGTGTGTGTGTGTGTGTGTGTGTGTGTGTAAATTATCTGACCACTTGTCCTAAATCCGTCAGTTTTCAGCTCATAATCCTTTTCAACTTCTCGGCAATGTTTGGTTTAGTTTCAATGTTGCCTTCTCAACCTTTCTCTTATCTAGGGTTTTGGCTTCTTTTCTCTGTCTACCTAGTCTACAAATAGAAGTACATGCCTCTCATTAAAACACAATGAAATAAACCCTCTCTGGATCCCTGCAGTACCTTCTATCTGGCCTCCAGTCCATGTCCTTGCCATGCTAGCCAGATTTTTGGAGAAAGAATCTACAGTTGCTTTCTTTGCCTTATTTTCCACTCAGTTTTTAGTTCATTGTAATCTAGCTTCTGCCTCTACTAATCCCCAGAGGAAAGAAGGAACATGACAGAATCATGGAAAAAGGAAGCAGCATGATGCACTCACCAAGTTCAAAGCCAGTGCCGGCAGCGGCAGTTCTGGAGAGGCGTGGGCTAAATTGCAGAGGTTTCCATTCTGTTCCAAGGCATTAGATTTCCATCTCTTCAGGCAGAGGAAGCCACTGAAGGGTTACGTACAGGAGCAGAGCAGCGTCCAGCACTTCTGTGACCGTGGATGGTGCTGTCGGTAGTTATGAAACCGGGAACTGGTTAGGAATCTGTCATGGGTGCTGTGAGAGACCGAGAGGGAAGCATAGACATTGGCAGGCCCTTCTGTAATTAGATGCAAATACATATGTAAATAGTTTGTGACGTACAAACATCTATAAAAACAGAAGGCACTTTTTATGCTTCAGGCATAGTTTTGTAGTGTGATTAGCATAATACGCTGTTAAACTTTTTTCTTACCTGAAGTTCAGGTGAACTTACTCTGTTTCCATCATTGAGGATTAACTTGTATAATCGATATGGTGGCATTATTTCATGTCACAGCATTCATGATGCTAAGTCTAGTGCAACTTCAATTACGAAACATGGATGTTTGTTACACAGAAAATCTATAATCATCTCAGTGTCGTTATAGCTTCTTGTTTGTTTTGTGATGTTGTAATAAACCTGATCATCCAATAAGCGCCACAATGTGGTCGGAATGTCATTACCGATAGTGTTCATTTTTGTAATTTATACCTATTTGAATCTATGGATCTGACTGTCAGATGGGCTTCTCCAAAACTGCAGGGATTATCAGTTACAGCGTTAGGTCTTCTACTCAACTTCTGGGAGGGGTTGGCCACCCCCGCCCCCTCAGCCCTCACACCAGCCCCAGGCCCTTCCCCCTCACTGTCAGGGCAGACAGCGGCTAACCATGTACTGCAACGTCTGTTGACCCCATCTTCCACATTTTCATCCTCATTGCCCAGTACTTCTCTTTGAAAGCTTTGCCCATCCCATTTTCTTTATTTTATCATTATTGTGAATTTTGTTAATTAGAAACTGAAGTAATTCTGCTTGGTGAAGTTTTTGCTTAACATTTATATCTGCTGCCAATGTGAAACCAGTCTGAAATATTTACCATGTTTGTCAACATAGAAAAAAAGGTGGTGAAGTGATATGAAAAGATAGCATAGTTGATTAACCAAATATATTCATTTGATTGTGTATTCATGGATGTCATGTTTCATGTTCTTCATTAATGTCTGGAGTTTTTCTATTTACTTATGCTTTGTAATAATTTTAGGACCTCAGAATATTGACGATGAAGTACAAGAACAAATTCTGTCCATTCACCATGAGACAGTATACGCAGAACATGGTATGAATTAAAATCTATTTTCTCATGCATTGCTTGCTAAAATAATGGTTAATTACATAGGTGACTTGGACTTTGTTTTCAAATTTAAATAATTGAGTGGTTTTTTTTAATTATTAGAGGGCAAGGGTTTTTTTAATGTTTATTTTTGAGAGAGAGAAAGAAGGAAAGCGTGAGTGGGAAATGGGCAGAGAGAGAGGGAGATCTAGAATCTGAAGCAGCTCCAGGCTCTGAGCTGTCAGCACAGAGCCCGATGTGGAGCTTGACCTCACGAACCGTGAGGTCATGACCTCAGCGGAGTCGGATGCTTAACTGACCGAGCCACCCAGGCGCCCCAAGAGCAAGTATTTCTGAAAAAGCACAAGACTCATTTTATTTTACCTCACCTGACTGTTAAGGAACTTACAGTGTAGATTTTAATAAAGAAGTAGGAATAAATGGGAATAAACCAGTTCAAGACCAGTGAAACAGCAAGAACGGACAGCAGGAAGGGGGTGGAAGGTAGAACACACCCACGCAAGCGGTAACGGGCTCTCTGGATGCTGTGCTCAGCCTGACTCTGCTGCACACCTGGGTGGTCGCCAAAGCAAAAGGAGAAACTTTTTAATTATGTCGGTCATATTTCCAGAGAGGAAATGAACACACCGACTACTTAGAAGATATCAAACGTTTTCCTAGCTCTTACATTTGAAGCATTTCTTTGGTGCAGTTCTGTACAGAGAATATTAAATGGTACTCTTGAAACCCATGTTTTAAGATTTTATGAGACCGTTTCTCGAGACATCCCTTAATAAAAGCAGACAGGATAACCCAGAGATGTAACTCACAAAGGGGTTTTGAAGAAGGCAGATCACGTGGTATCCTGATACGCCTAATGGTTTGGTGTGAGCGGAAGAGAGTCCTCAAGGAGAAAGTTATGTTTCTTAAAAACAAACAGGGTCTCGTATCATCGAAGCTGCGTTAGCTGGCCTGCTAAACTGTCTTACTCAGTCTGAGGTGTCCCACCCACTTGGGTCTGTGCTCTGCTGGCGACACCAGCTTCGGCTGAGCTGGGCAGGCTTTCGCCATCGGCTGTCTGGGGTCTAGGAGCCTGTGTCCTTTCATTAGGAGTTCGGAGCATCACCTGAGAATGCATCTACCCGTGTCAGCACGCACGGGCTTTCCCTTCCTCCGTCTTTCTTTTTTTTAAACTTTGACCTAATCTCAGGATGATGCAGTCAAAATAATAAGTGATTTCAGTATGATGAGGTAAGAGGTGTAATGGCGAACTGTAAATGGCTCTGTGCGCCTCGCATAGAGTTGGGGGTGAGCAAAGCTTCTTAGGAGAAGTGACGTTCCGACTTAGTAGCTGGGGAATGGCGTCGTGCTTGGCCAGGTGGCTGATGTCAGGTCGAGGCAGCGGGCGTGGCATGTGTGAAAGCCCAGAGGAAAAGAGGAGCCCAGAGTAGTTCAGAGTGGCCGCCCTGTGGGGTTACACGTAGGTGGAGAGCGACCGAGAAAGGGTTTTGTACTTGGTTCAGAGTGTCGTTAGAACATCGGAGGGTGCTGGGGGGTCTGTGCCTTCTGTCTGCGGCACGAGCACACGTTGGGGGAGTCCTTGGGGAGGCGGGCTGGCAGGCTGTGCCGGTGATCCAGGTGGCTCAACAAGGTCAGTCACGCCAAGTTTAGCTAAAGATGGGGAGAGAGAAGTGTGGGAAGACATGGTGGACATTTAGGCGGGTGGGTGTAGGAAGCGGGTCTACCATGCCTGGGCTTCTGGCCCACAGCCTTCCTCTTAGACTTATTCTCTTCTTTATTTAAGAAGTCACAAGGGCGCCTGGGGGGCTCAGTGGCTTGAGCGTCAAACTTTGGCTCAGGTCATGATCTCACGGTTCGTGGGTTCGAGCCCCGTGTCGGGCTCTGTGCTGACAGCTCAGAGCCTGGAGCCTGCTTCAAACTCTGTGTCTCTTTCTCTCTCTGCCCCTCCCCTATTCATGCTTTGTCTCTCTCTGTCTCTCAAAAATAAATAAATATAAAAAGAAAAAAAAAAGGAATTCACAGAGGCCATGCCTGCAAATGTTATTTGTGAACTTGTGCTGCTTCTGAGTCTGTATCTGCAGCCCTGTCCCTCCTCTGAGCCCCTGGTGTATCCAGCTGCCTGTTTATCTGCATTTGCATGTTTTATGGGTGTCTCAGACTCAAAATGTACCCAAGTCAGAATTCTTGGTTCCTTTGCAGTTCATAGGTCTCCTCTCACTCCCCAAAATTTCGCTTTTATCCCATTCTTTTATATTTTAGGTAATGGTCTCCCCTCCCCTCAGTAGCTTAAGTTGAAAACCGGGGAGTTTCCTTGTTTTCTCTCCTCGTCTCGCCTCCTGTATAAGCCCTGGGCGGGTCCTGCTGGCTTTGCCTCCAGTTCGTATCTGGACTCTGGTGTGTCCCCTCCGTCACCGTCCCCTCCAGCATGGCTGCTGTGTCAGCGTCACCGTCCCCTCCGGCATGGCTGCTGTGGTAGCGTCCAGTTGGGTCTGTGTTTGATGTGTGTTTGATGTACTTATGTGTCCTGGTCTTTTTCTCCCCTCAGTCCCTTTTCTTGAGCCCAGATGTTCTTCTCTCTTTCCCTTGGCACTGCCGAGCCTGTCCCTGCTTCAGAGCCTTGGTACTTGTGTCTTCTACCAGCGTGTGTGCTTTCTGATCCTCACATCTCATGCGACCCAACATGGCCTCCGTGACCACCATCTTTGCAGTAGACTCTCCGCAATATTCTGTATTTCGTTATTGTGTTTCAGATGCGGCAGCTGCCATTGACTAGCTGTGTGGCTTTAGCCAAGTTTCTCCAGTTCCTTGTCCTCCAAAGTGGGATATTAGTGCCTAATGGCTGCAGAGGCAATGCCTTCAGTTCCTCATACCAGGCTGTCACTGTGTGATGTTTCGTTGGTCTCCCTACTGAAAACAGGGACTCTCCGTTAAGTAGCGATGACAGAGAGCTAACTCCTGCTCATGTAAAAACCATACAGTTGTACTGGGTAACGTAAGAGTAAGGAAAAAATAATGTGCTAAGAAGGAACATGGAGAAAGGAATATGGCGAAATCAGTGACAGGAGTTGGGATTGGTGGTTGGTGTGCTGACGAGCAGAAAATCTGAAATGAGGAACGGTGTAGCAGGCTGTGATGGAAATACAGCAGACAGACGCGTACTGTGACATAAAGGGGCCACATAGTCCAGTAACGCGTGCGAGCATCGCTGGGTCACACTGAAAGTGAAGGAAGGAAGCCTTCCTTCTGCAGCGTTTGGGGAGAGCTCAGTGGCAAGCAGAAATAGTTACATTAATATAATGATGGTGATAAAAATAACAACACAACAAGAACAATAACACCTGAATGCTTATTATGGGCGAGGCAGTTTCTAAGTGCTTGAATCCTCACAACAGCATTATACGTAGGCATTCATATTATTTCCTTTTCATAGAAACAAGATCTGAGCCACAGAGTAGTTAAGGAACTTCTGCAGGGTCACACAGCTGGTGTGGGAAAACTAAATCTGGAGCCGTACATTCCAGACCTCACACTCCTAACCGCAGTACTTTCCTGCACAGCTAAGTCACTTGAGTTGTTTGCTTAGAGTATTATGTACAGGACGTGACTCTGCTTGAAGCCATGACAGGGTGCCACTGGGAGACTTTCTTACACCGTGCCGACAAGCTAAGCCCTATTGCAGCGGGATAATGGAGCGTATCCCGCATCGACACAGAAGCAGCAGAGCAGTTCAGTATGTCCTCAAAGTCTCAGAAGGGAAGAATGGGCATTTCTGCATAATGTATAGGCTAAACATAACAGCCTTTAGCTGCAGAGTATAAAGAGGTGACCCAATGCAGAGGACCTAACCTGCGGTTTGGAAGGTGTCTGGCTGTCCTTTGCAAGAGTATCTGCATAGAGTTATTGAAGATTGTTACATGGAGTTTTATGCCCAGTCTCAATGAGAGGTCACAGGCTGGCCTTTTCTCTAGCCTCGTGATAATTGAAGAAACCAATATATGAATAATTGTGAATTCATATATTCATCCATTACTATTTATTGAGCATTTCCTATGGCTAGGCAGAGGCCCTGGGTGCTGGGCATGCATAGTAAATAAAATATATGTGCTGCCGAAGTGAGCACAATAGTAAATAAAATAGATGAGGTCCCTGACCTTGGTGAGTTCAAGTTCCAGTGAGGGAAAGGTCTGTCCCCGCCACAGGTGGACGAGCACTTGACCCGAGTGAGGACGGAGCTCCAGAGTGGGCGGCAGCAGGTGCCGTGGCCCGGAGGAGGGGCAGGGGGTGCCCGGCAGCGGGAGTGGGTGTGTGGCAGCCCTTCCGGAGGGGCTCACGTGTCTGTGTCGAGTGCTGCCTGTGGGCCCTCGTGGTGGACCCGTGACACTTTGTTCATTATCGTTGTTCAAGGAGACAACGTGCAACAAGAAGACGATGGACCAGCCAGAACACCACCACCGGGAGACGAGGATTTCCTTGTGGGAAGTGATACAGTTGAGAGGTTTGAGCCTCTGGACGCTGGAGCATTTCATGAAGGTAGAACACTTTTTTTTTTTTTTTTTTGGTTTCGGAATAAAACACAATGAGCAATTTTAATTATGATTATTGAAGTTTTTCATGAATATTTTTTAAATACTTAATTTTCATCTGGTTTATATATACATATATATTTTAATGTTTATTTTTGAGAAGGAGAGAGGGGGGAGGGGCAGAAAGAGAGAGAGAGGGAGACACAGAATCCTTAGCAGGCTGCAGGCTCTGAGCTGTCAGCACAGGGCCCGATGCGGGGCTCAGACTCACGGACTGTGAGATCATGACCTGAGCCAAAGTCGGACGCTTAATCTACTGAGCCCCCCAGGTGCTCCTATCTGGTTTATTTTTAAGTTGAAGCTGAAAAGTTCAATTAAAACTAATCCCCCCCCCCAAAATAAGTAATTTTTTTCCTGAAATAAATAGATATCCCAGCTTTGAGTCAAAGCACTTTTAAGGAGACTATCAGAATATATGAATTCCTCATAGAAAGTAGGCAAAATACTTCTGCATATTACTTTTACTGTATACTTCTTCCTGGAGTGTCATGTCTTAGAAGAAATTCAGAAGATAGATGAACTTTTTTACTCAGCTGTCAATCACAGGCTCTTACTCTAACATAAACTTCATAATCACAGTTACGAGAACACAGTTCTTAGCTTCTAAACCAGGCACTGGCAGCCTTGCCCTGTAAACAGCAGGAGGATCAATATTTTAGGCTTTGTAGACCAGATAGCCTTTATCCCAATGACTCAGCCTTGCTCTCATTGTGCAGAAGAGCCTGGAACAGGATCTAAACAGTAAGTGTAGCTGTGTTCCAGTACAGTGTTATTTACAAAATCGGGAGGCAGGCCTGCTCTGAGCTGCAGATGGCGGTCTGCTCACATCTGTTCTGTATCAGTATCTTAAGTCTAATTAAGTATCAGGTGTGTCATTTACCTTGGATCGTTTGCAGAAGGTGAGTTAGACTAGTCATTCATTGCTGCCTATAGAGAGAAAGAATTTCTGTGATAATGAAACCTTTTTTTCATAGATTTTGTGCTCTGTTATGTCTTAATGTGACACTACCACAATTATCTGAAGCCTTGTTAAAAAAGTGCACATGCTTTGTTCTTAGGGTATCTCTTTTCTGTTTCTTTTTTCTAAAGTAGCTCTTAAAGACTTTAATGAGTTCTTGAAAGATTTTTCTTTTAACATTTTTACTTATTTTTTTTTTAAATAAGCTCTGTGCCTAATGTCGGGCCTGAAATCATGACCCTGAGATGAAGAGTCACATGCTCTACTAACTGAGCCAGCCAGGTGCCCCGAAAGACTTTAATCCATAATTGTTGTACTCTGATTGATTAATGTTGTTTTATTTAGAATATATAAACACATAAATCATATAATTGTATGTATATAATCTTAAAATGAATACACTGAAACATCGTTTAAGATGGATGTTTCATTTCTAAAGAGTAAAACTAAAGAGAAAGGTTGAGAGACAGCACCCACTCCTAGTCATCCATATAGCGCACTACGGCCCGCCATATAATCATCATCAGAGTCTGTGGTAGAGTTGCTCTGGGACCCAGGCAACAAGTCAACACCACAAGCCACCAAAGGATCTGGAGCAGAGGGGTCTGGCAGGGTTCAAGGGTCAGCTAAGCCCAAGTCGAGTTTGGACAGGTAGACAGACTGAGAAACAAGTAATAAATGAAATCCACAGCAGCAATCAGGGTAGGAAGGTCTAGGGCCATAGCCATAGAAACATGGATTCAAAGAGAGAATTTCTTGCAGATATGGTCCACATAAGGTGGACTGATATCCCCACAAATAGTTTTCAATCTTGGATACAAAAGACCACTTCTGATGCGCTCTACACAAAGTGAATCAATGTTTCAGGTATGAGGCCCTGAAAATGGATAACTGTAAAAGTTCCCCAGGTCATATCAGAGTACAGCCAGGATTCAGTGAAAGTGTGGCCAGGCTGTTTATTTTTTCATATCCTGCTGTGCTGGGTATGAATAAGCTGAGGCTTGTGCACCTGTGCTCATAGGCAGGGGGAGCCAGGTCGGGCCATGGCACCTGTCCAGGCTCAAAATTGAGTGGAGCGATAGCCGGGTCACAGTAAATTGAAAAATGGTTGCTGGGACTTTTTAAAGGCATGAAAGTAATGAGAGGGTAAAGTGTATCTACTTTTTACAACATTTAATGTATTGGGAAACTACTTTGGAAGCAAGAAGTTCTTGATTTATGAATGAATGTATTTCCAAAACCTTACAGTCATGCCTGTTGTCAAGGTCAGGAAATACATTTTTCCATAGAAATAATGAGTGGTGGCTTGGTTTCCGTACCAACCTACAAAACTGTATATAATGCATCATTTTCTGTGAAAAATGTACACTCAAAAATGCTTTTGAGCTTGTATTTGAATTCAGCAGCATTGTGCATCGAAAATAGGCATTTATAGACCAGCTTTAGAACTTTAGACCTTTAGTTATCACATCTGTTAAAATTTCTCTGGGAACGAAAAGTGTTTCTAGCTGCTGAGTGGGGGTGCTGCTAAAATGACTTCCACATTTCCCGGCATCTCCTGCTCCCTCCTGTCCTCGGCCGAGATGCCTCGGGAAGATGAACTTACTCGGAATTTTGGTCTCAGTTGCTGCTTATATAACAGATTCCAGTTAAGACACTCAATCTGAAACATACGGAATTTGATATTTTTGAGGTTAGGAGTTATAGATTGGGGGTAGGAAGACAGGCTTCTAAAAAGTTAATAAATTGAGAAGGCCTTACATTCTGATCTAACCTTTATTTTAAAAAGTTTTTTTTAATGTTTACTTATTTTTGAGGAGAGGGAGACAAAGGGATGAGCAGGGAAGGAGCAGAGAGAGGAGACACAGAATCCGAAGCAGGCTCCAGGCTCTGAGCTGCCAGCACAGAGTCTGATGTGGGGCTTGAACTCAAGGACCGTGAGATCATGACCTGAGCTGAAGTCGGACGCAGAACCCCAAGCCACCCAGGCGCTCCTCTGACCTAATCTTTAATTCGAACATAGATTCAGTGTGAACTTATAAGTTTATTAAAAATTTTCAGAAATTGAAAACATCTTTACCTAGTGTAGCTGTCACATTAACAAGGGTCTCAGGAGCAGTGAGGACCCAGTGTCGGCAGCACTTGGCTGTTGGGGGTCTGAGGGTTCAGTTAGGACCACAGTTGCCATTCAGTGCCCCGTCTTAGAGAGTCTCCTCCGTTCTTCCTGGAGTTCCCATCTATAGACGGTGCTTTTGCTCTAGAAAGTAGGACCCCACAGTGGAATGTGACGTGGACTAGGAATTCACCCTTTCCGGAATCCAGCCTTGTCACTGTGCTTTTCTGTCCATTCCCCTGCCAGTCCAGGATCGGATGGCATCTAGTGGACCGAAGACAAGGCGTAGACATTTCCAAGTGTAGTTCTCATGAAAGTTAAAGTGTTTAGCAGACTGTTGATAGATACTTTCATGTTTTATCTTAATATTTACTTTCAAAATGAAATTAATGATAAGCATGGATTCAGAATATACATCAATGGTATATATATATACGGTTTTATCAAAGTAGTACTACTGATTTGATGTTATTCTTTCCAGAAACTGAAGATAGTTACCCTGTAGAAGAGACAGGTAAGATTTAAACTTAAAACTATTCTATTTTTCTTAATTAGAATGAGTCTTTTCCTATAAAACATCATGAGAGAGAAAAAATATATTATCTATAATTATTTATGATTATATTTTATAACATAAAGTATATGCAATATGTATAGCTAATTGTTATATGATAATTTCATATATATATTTCTTTGTGAATCTAGTTTTTGTGCTTTTGAAGTCTATTTCCTAAGGATAAATTCCCAGTAGTGGGATGACTAAGTCAGAAGATAAAGAAGCACACTTTCTATAGTCTTAAGTTACAAAGTCAGTGGAAGGTCAAAGTTGTGCAATGTCACTGGTCACACATGCGCAGGAGATATGGCCACACTAGAGATGGACGTGTTATCTTTTGGTAAACCTGTGTTGGCCAGTTTTTTCTTCCATGATTGGAGTAGACCCCTTTCTGTGCTGGAAGACCCGGTCTGTTGTTGGCTGTCACTTAGGACCTATGTTGCATCAACAATATGAACATATTCAACAATATGAATATGTAAATACATTGCAGTCTGGGAGTACTCAGGTGTTAAGTCCAAGTGTACAGGGCTAGGAAATGTGTGTGTCCTTGTTCAGGCACACGCTGAGGCAGGTGCTTGATGAGTGGAGGGGAGGGCAGCTCACCTGTACCGCTGTCTCTGTGCTCTCTGTCTGTCTGTCTGTCTCTGCCTTATTAGTCTTTTGCTGAATATAGTCGATTTGCAAATCTAAATGAGAGTATAGCTTCACCATTCTGTGGTTCGATTATAGACCCGTGGATGACGGGGACTGTCTTATTCATCTTTGTGTTAGGCATTTACCAAACCTAGTACCTTCATGTTTCATGAGTGAATATAAATGGGAGCATCCTTATAATGTGATTTTACATTTACATTTCTGTTATCACTAGATATTGGGCTTTTCCTATTTTGAATATCAAGTGTAATCCTTCTTGAGACATATTTGAAGTTTCCTCATCATTTCTTAATTTACAGCTTCACAGGTCTATGACCAGGATATGGAGGAGATGATGTACGAGCAGGAACCCCCAGGTTTGTGATCTCCTGTGACCCCAGGTTTAATGATTCACTCTGATTCAAGTCAGAGTGCTCTTTATAATATTCATAATCATTTTTGGTGCCCAGACATTTACAGAAATTTCTGAACATAATTTAATATTACATCGACGAGTGGGGAAAAAAGGAGATGGGATTTTCAAACCACCATTGGGATTTTTCTCTTCGTAGTCAGGACCCAGGATATTCGGACATTAACGAGGTGGGATGGTGTGGTCAAGCCTGACTGGTTCTGTTCCTTCCTGTCTTTGTGACCTAGAAAATTTTGGAACTTTATTCGGCTTAAACTTTGTCAAATGATAATGACGACACCTATCTTACACAGTTGTAAAGATTAGAATTAATCTGTAAATACATTAGAATGGTGTCCGGTAAGGTGTTTGGTTTCGTCATGTTTGGCAGAGGTGTGTGTTTGTTCTTTTTAGATTCCATGGACCCAGTAGCAGGCGGCGATGAGGGAACATTCCGTGATGCAGGTATCGCGCGAACAATTGCATTAGATGATAAATGTCACTTTAAGGCTTTACAGTTGCAATGCTATAAAAACACGGTGATTTGTCTTTCAAAGGAGTCAAAGAAGTAATTTTAACACCTAATACAAGTCTTTTTGCTTTGTAACAAGATTAGATTATTAAAAGTATATCAGACCTTCATATTTTGCCTCGCCTACCCTGGCACCACAAAAGAAGATATTAATCATTAATGCTCCTTTTTGTATATCTTGCTTTCTGCCAGTTTGAGGGATTTTTATGAAAATAATTTGCTTGTCATTTTGTCTCGTTTTGGGGCAGAGGCACTCATCGCTGACTGCAGGCATTAATATTGCAAGGAATAGAATTCTGTGTTTGAGATTAAGTTGTGCTTAGCTAAGCAGTGACACAGAATAACTCATTTAATACTTTGGTTTTATTCTCTTTTTTTGCAGATGACATTACATACCAAGACTATGATGAACCAGGTTTGAAAAACACTTCTTAACCTTAAGCCATCTTCTTGTTTTAAAAGCTACTCAGAGTTTGACTGTAGAGTATGGAGAATAATGTTATAAGCTACAAATGCCACAACTTAAAATATCCAAAGGAATGGTAGTTTTCAAAGAATTTACTTGGGGAGACCGTTTACCCCCTCCAGTAATTCTGCCATTGACTAAATAATTTCTTAAACTCTTTGCAGAGTTGCCATAGGAAGCAGTTAAAAATGGTGCACAGATACTTACCTCATTACTTATAGTCATAGCTGTCTTTGACTAAAATCTGTCGTGTGCACGGAAGACTAGTCAGAGTTTAAATACTCTTGCTGCCTCTACAAAGTAATCCCACTCTTAGGGTGACAGATCTGCTAGCCTGGAGGAAGGTACACAAGAATTTCACTGCAGGCTTAGAAGTGGCATGAAGAACAGCGTCCAGGCACATTTGTGGTATGAGTGGCACTAGAGTCAGATTTAGGCACTTAGAGCTGCTTCTGTCGCCCCTGCACTTCCCATGCTTTTTATTAAACTCCATGATGTAGATTCTATTTTTGCTGCTTCCCAGATGAAAGAAATAAGGTTCAGAGAATGTAAATGATTGGCCTGAGTTCATGATGACTAAGACATGATAAAGCAGCGGTGGATCATCTTTATCCCACCACCTTCAGGGACGGCTCTGTCAAAGGAAAGAAGTCAGTTGAGTGTAACCAAGAAGGATGAAGAAATGTTTAGTGTGCGAGTCAAATATGGAGGACTTCCTATGTGCAGGACGGTTTGGGGGCTTCATATTTAAATAGGATCAACATCGAGTCCCTTGGCTCAAGAAACGTATGGTCTCATGATAATTGGTGATTCTCAGTTGAAGAAAATTAGGAATGACTGCATATAAACCTGATATGCTGATTTACTCAGCATCTGTATTCACGATTTGAGGTCCTACTAAGAGGACCATTCACAGCGGCTGTGTCTAATGGGATATGGATGATGCCTGGTTGTGTCTTTAAGAACTAATATTTTTATAAGAAGTTAAATAACTTGGCTGCTATGATTGCATTTAGATTTTCTTTTTAGTTTTGAATTTAAAAGAGAAAATAGGAATTTGGAAATTAAAAGTGCCATGTAGAGATGTGACTGGACATACTTTTCTGATTTCTGCCACTTATTATAGTGTTTTTCTAAATATGCTAGAAAGAACATGTTTGGAAGCCAATTTGAAAACTAGATCCAGAGAACCTTAAAATCGAACTTGAAAGACATGTAAAATTAGATACCATGCTAATGAGAGTGCTGTAAAAATAAATGTATTTTCCTAGGCAGAATATCAGAATGAGTATAATTTAAAATGGTAAGAAAGAGTAATAAATATGACCTAAGGGGTCATCAAGATTTGGTGAGATACTTTGGATTACCTTGCTATAGAAACTAAACTTTTCAAACAATGGATTGAGTAGAATAGAAGATTATTCACACTGTTCTAAAAAGATGCCTTTGTAGAATTCAGGAACCAGACTAGGGATACCAAGTAAATGTGTAACTGAAGCTGTAAGTAGGGTGAAAGCAAAAGCATTTTTCATGGGGAGCACAGAATATATTCTGTATTAACCTCCCCACATCTAGACCCCGTGGCTTATGAAAGCTGGGGAGGGAACCAGCTTTCCATATAAAAACTTCTAGAAAGCACCAAGCCTACATTGGGTGTACCTAGGAAATGACGGAAGCAGCTGGCCGTCTGACTGACTGATTCATATACTGCATATGTATTAACTGCCTTGTGTCCAAAACACAGGACACTGGACCGTTCTGGGGAGGAGCACACCCGTGCTCCATACTCCCATGGACCCTGTGTCCTAGCAGGGCGTAGACATTACACAAATGACTTCAGTTTAGTGTCTTGTTGCAGTAGCGCTCAGTGCTGGTGAGAACAAGTATGGTGTGTAACAAGAGCATATATTGAGGAGACCTACTGTTCTAGTTAGTGGACCAGGGAAGGCTTCCCTGAAGTTTGAGGTGAAGATTAGAGCCATTGACGAGGCAAGGGGCCGGTGACTGGAATAGCACAGGAAGCACCCGAGGTGTCCGGAGTGCCAGCAGGTGTCTGGAGAGTTGTTCCCTAAACAAAGTAGAGAATGTGCCCGGCGAAAGCTCAGAAGAATCCTTCACCACAGACATGGAAAAAAAAAAAAGAAAAGAGAAATTCGTCAGGGAGCAAACCAAGTGTGGATCTTGGTAATACCGCAGGAGATTGGGAAGAACCTTAATTTCCCCCATTTTACATGAAGAAAGCTACGTAATTGACCATCTTCTCTGGCTAACAGGTGGCCGACCCAGACTTTGGATCTGGGCTTGTTTCACTCTGCACCAAACCCTTCCCCACCCTCCTGTGTGGCCTGCTGCATCCCAGTGACTAAGCCCTAGGGGTTCAAGGATGACTTAGACATTGTCTCTGCTCTTGAAGCCATAAAATGAATGTTGTAGTATAGTGAGAGTTATGTAGTCCTAAAAGATTCTCTTTTTCTGTGTATTTTCTAGTATATGAGCCATCAGAAAATGAAGGGATAGAAAGTTCAGGTAAGCTTTTTCTCTAAACAAGTGTTTCCTACAAGTGTCCTCCCCCCTTATATTTATTAAAACTCAGGTAGCTTCTAGAACAAAGACGTGTTAGTGAGAAATACATTTTCAAGTCTCCAAGGGAGTAATTGGATTTGCCAGTATATTTGTTCCCTACTTATGGCAGGTTTTATGTCACCATGAATGATATCAGCCTATTTAGTAAATTCTTTGAATGTAATTTAGGAATCAAAGTGGATATGCTAATATAAATACTTGTGACTCTCTATATATGAAGCCCCAGTCTAAAATGAGCCAAATTTAGGTATCTGAGTAGAGATAAGCTAATTTAGGGATGTAGTGTGAGTGAATGTAAAATTTGTGTGTTTTTTTTTCTTTTTCCTTTTTAGATAATGTTGTAGAAGATTCAAATGTCATTTTAGAAGGTAAGTTAGTTTTGTAGATTGCTTTGCTTTTTGTACTAAATTTATGTTCATGTGTTCAACAAGCATGCTTGAGCACTTCGCTGTGTGTGTGGTGGTTGGAGTTAGGGGGAGGGGGACCCACCTAAAAATGGACAGAAATTCTGTTTTCCTTGGGGTTAGCATTCTCATGGTCAAACATGACAAAGTAAGTAAAGGTTATGAAAAGTGCAACAACAGAGATAAAAACAGGATAGCAAAATAGAAAGTAACTGGTCGCAGTGAGGAGGGTGACTCTGAAAAGGGAAGGTGATTTGATCAGAAGGGGTTAGCCTTGGGCAGGGGTGGGTTGAAAGTTGGGTCCTTTAGTTGCTATACAGCCGGACAGACTATTTTTTTTTTTTTTAATTTTTAACACTTTTTTTTTTTTTTTTTTTTTGAGAGACAGCATGAGCAGAGGAGGGCAGAGAGAGAGGGAGACACACCATCTGAAGCAGGTTTCAGGCTCCCAGCTGTCAGCCCAGAGCCTGACACCAGGCTCGAACCCACGAAGTGCAAGAGCATGACCTGAGCTGAAGTCGGATGCTTAACTGACTGAGCCACCCAGGCACCCCCTCCCCCAGACACACTATCTTTAAAAGTGAAGGATTGTCTCTGAAAAATTAGAATTGTTGCATATGTTACGTGGTGGTACCTTAACACAGGGTAGAGTTACAGAGATTCTAACAGTTTGCACACTTACGTTATTTCACATACGTTATTTCAGTTCCTCACAGTGGACACTGAGGAGGAGGTAGGATAAATATCATTCTGCTTTTTTTTTTTCTTTTTTAAATAAATGAAGGGCTGACATTGAAGGGAGGTCAGTGGCTGGCCCCACGTCAGGCCAAAAGTATCTAAGCTGGTATTGGACCCAGGCTTGGGGCCTGTAGTGGATGCTGGGGTCCACGGGCTTCACAACAAGAAGCTGCCACCGGGAACATGTAATGGGAATTTTTAAAAATTACTCTTAGAATTCTCTTATGAGCCACTAATTGTCATCTTTCAGATGAAGTGTTCCTGCACTTGAGCTTGGTGAGGCAGAATCTTTACTAGTCTAGTGGACTGAAGCGGGGGAAGATAGGAGAGGTGGAGGCCACGTGGAGACCCCAGGGTGGCCCTCTTCATGCGCTCAGCCCTTTTGGGAGCACCGTGTACACGCGGATTCGTCTCTGTGCCGCAGGCTGAATTGCCTTCAGATTTTCTCCCACCGCCTGCTATCTGTGCTGTATGAAGGACGTAGCGAGTCTGTTTTCTCTCCAGTTAGAATCAGAAAATGGAAACCCCACATCCCTAGGAAGAACTTTAGCCAACCCACCCCACGTATATTGTTTTGTATAGGAGGCCAAGCATCACACAATATGCCTCTTGGCCCCACCTTTCCTGTAGTAGAAGTACAGTTTTTCCAGAGACTTTTCAGGCATTTTGATGAACCAGGCCAGGCCATGGCGGAGACTGCTAAGGGAATTCCTTCTGGGGGGCAGTGGGGCTCTGGACTGTGCACCGTCGGCCTCCCTGTAGTTGCTGTGCTCCTGCGGTGCCTGAATGGACAGTGAGAATGAACTCATCATCTTGGGGCGCCTGGGTGGCTCAGTGGGTTAAGCGTCTGACTTTGGCTCAGGTCATGATCTCACAGTTCGTGGGTTCAAGCCCTGCTTTGGGCTGTGTGCTGACAGCTCAGAGCCTGGAGCTGCTTCAGATTCTGTGTCTCCTTCTCTCCCTACCCCTCTTCCACTCAAGCTCTGTTTCTCTCTCAAAAATGAATAAACATTAAAAAAATTTTTCTTTAAAAAGAATGAACTCATCATCTTCACACACCCACAAACTTTCTCTTTTCCCCTCTTCCCTGACTTGGCTGGATGCATCAATATATACTTGCATCCCCAAGCCAGAAATGTGACTGTCATCACTGACACTTCCTCCATTTCTGTAGCTAATCCCAAGTCCTGTTGAATGGGCTTCTAATACATTTCTCAAATCCATTCTTTTCTCTGTAGCGTTAGTGATCTAGCTCAGGCCTCATCACCTTCCTGGACAACAGTGGTAGCCTTCTAGCCCATCTTCTCACTTCCACACTTGCCCCCTTCAAATCCATCTGTCATGATGCCGTTAGGGTGATCTGTTCAGAAGTACACCTTTGGCATATCCATCCTGTGCCATAACCCTCTTTTATCCCCCATCTGTGTCAGTAAGGTACTTCCTGTTACAGAAAACTAAACTTGAGTTGGCTTAAGCATTAAAGACGTGACAGATCAGTTGTGAACTTGGAGTACGTAGTGAAGAATTTGGATTATAATCCAAGTACAGTGGGAATCTGGGGAAACACTTAAATGAGATATGGCATAATGTGACTTGTGTTGTAAAGAATTACTTCCACTCCTGGTTAGAGAATTGAGTGGACGGAGCAAGAACAGAAGCAGCAGCCGCGCGTCAGGACATGACTGGGCACCAGTCCGGGAGGTGACCAAGGTGGCCTGGAGTAATATGGCCATGGGAATGGGGGGGAGCTTAGAATTTGAGATACATGTTTGAATTACAGTGGATGGAACTTTTTGATGATTGTGAAGGAAAGAAGAATAAAGTTATTTGGTTCAAATAAGTGATGAATGATGGGGCCATTTACTGAGAAGAAAACTGGGATATAGGAGAAATTGGTTTAGGGGAGAAAATCAAGGCTTCATATCAGACATTATAAGGTTAGGAGGGATGTGAGATTCCCAGATGGACGTGTCAAGTAGGGGGTTGGCTATGCGAGTCTGAACAAGATGGGCAAGACCTGGGATTGCTGTAAGTGTCAGGGAGCCATCATCATGAAGATGGTACTAACTCCACAGAAATGGATAAAATTTTGTAAGTGAGTGTGGAGAGAGTAGACAAGCAATCCTAGGACTGAACCCCAGGGAATCCCGACATTGTGAGGTTTGAACAACCAGTGAGGCTTGAGGAAAGTCAGTAGAAAAGAATGTGAAAGAGCAGAAGGAAAGGGAATATGTTTCATGCTATTGCCGTTGGAATTTTCATACTGACAGGCGTCAATTGCATGTGGGAACATAGAGTTATTGGTGAGTTTAGCTAAGGCTATTTGAATAAATTGATGGGAGTTGAAAGCGATACTGGAGTGGGTTTAAAAAGGCCTGGAGTAAAGAAAATCAGGTTGTACTTATATAATTACTTAGCTGTTTCCTTTTTAAAAATCTTCTTGTTAATGTCATTACCCAAATAAACTTCAGGTAAGTTTGTTAAATGTACCATTTTTTTTCCAGAATAAAATTAGTTGAAAATTTACTTTATCTTGCAATAATAATAAGGCTTTCATAGTATAACATCAGTGATGGAAATAACAATGGAAGCTATTAATACTTTATGATGCACACAGCTTTTTCAAACCTAAAATGACAAGTAAAAGAAATTCAGAAAGAAAAAGAATATTAATACAGTTGATAAAGTGTTAATATATCTCTGAGTTACTAAGAACGAAATCAGTAGGCAAACCTTAACAAGCCAGTCACAACACAGAAAGCTAGGAAACACAGTACTGCCACTAAAACAAAGAAATATATAAGAATATCAGTGATTAGGGGGGAAAGTAAGAGGGTTTTTTTTCCCCCTTTTTTCCTTTTATGTAAAACATTTCCAAATTTGCCATTTGGTCATGTATTATTCTTAAAATTAGAAGCTAAATAATGTAAGAAGAAAAATGATTAAGATAGCTGCATAAATATATGAGTTTTAGAAAAAGCTATTTAAAATTCTTCCTTTTGACCCAAGTCTGTTACAAGTCATTAGAAGCAAAAGGAAAGCTGATATAATCTTATCTCTAGATTAAGATAATGTTCAGTGGGTTGTTACACATGAAGATCTTAATACATGATATAATTTTATAGAATGAAGCACATCAGTATATTATACCATTAGATGATAAAGCCTACAGTTTAGTTACAAGTGGGTTGAAGTAGCCAGGGAAGAGGCAAGATGTTAAAAAAGTCATATCCACATTTTTGGCTAGTGTTGATTATGTTAACTTGAATATTACTTTTCAAAATCTTTATTAAGGATAGTGATTCACTTTTAGGTTTATATTTCATCTTCTTTATGTTGTTTGTTCACATTTCAATTAGAGGTTATATATTAAAAACTTTTTAACAAGAGGCTTTGAGCCCCTTTTCTCAGCTTTCTTATGAAGCCTGATGCAAAATTATGACCAAAACCTAGGTTTTAGTTCATGTCTCCTTTGCCCTGGCAGTGAGTTTTGAGGTTAGTCAGTCAGGCAGATAATGTAGAGCCTGCCTTGCAAAACACTTGCAAAGTATACAACATTTTGCAAAATTATAGCTAATGCTTCTTTGTTGTAATAGTGTGAAAACCTAATGTTTCTTGTGAACCAAAAATGTCAAAATATTCACTGTAACTTAACATTGGTCAGCAATATGTAACGGATTGTAATTTCATTATTTATTGTAGAATCACACATGTCCCCTGCAGAACAACAGGAAGTACCACCAGGTAGGACATTCTGTTACCTGTATTGCCTTTTCCTTTTCTGTTTTATTTAAAATGTGCTGTTGGTATTCACAGTGCTGTACAAAATCAGTCTGTGAAGAGTAAAAATCCTGAAAGATTTTACTATCCCTAAATTTAAAAAGAAAATTGTGTTTTGATCAGTTGAGCCAAAGTAAGGAAGATACACGTTAGAGTCAGTCTAGTACATGTCTATTGAGCTAGAATATGAGGAGTATTAATGGCCCGCCATTGTAGATGGTAGTTGTAGTAGTAGTTAGGTGGGGTGGGTTCTTTTTCCTCCATTTTTTTTTTTTTTTTATTGACAGGGTAATTGATGGAAGATATGGAATCAGAATTGCCTTTAAGATGAAAGTTTAGTAGCGCATAAACTTGCGACTTTCCCCTTGTTCCCCATTTCCTCGAGAGCATCTTGGTGTCCTCGGGAAAGTCCCGGCTGCCTGCCCAGGCCTTGTCACTTCCCAAAGTCTTTCCTTCCAGCTGGGTTAACTAATTTCTGTACTCTTCCCTCCCCTCAGCCACATGTTTCTTGCATCAGCAGGGAATTTAGAGAATATGAACACCATTTCAACCAAGGCCTGTGCTTTCAAATGCATATTAAAGATGCATTAACTCTACCTCCAGTCAGAAATTAATGTACAAGTCTCCTGTTCTCAGAGTGGGGAAAACATGTCTGGTTAAGAGAGAAATTTCCAGTACCTCTTTGCCAAGTGTATTTCTTCTGATTTCTGTGTTTAATTTCCATTTTCTTTCTTTTTGTGTCATTTATTGGTTGAATTTTTGCTCATTTTTTTTACATTAGGCTCAATGTGAATTTTATAGCAATGGTGTGCATTACTATTACTGATTTTGGTAAAAGTAATTGTAACTGCCAGAATCTATGGAATAATAAACTTCAAGGAAGAAAAAAAGAACTTTTCTAATCCAGGAGTATTTTTAGTTATCCCCCAGCTCATCCTTGCTTATTTAACGATTGGGGCATTTTAGGTTTTGGCAGTTGTCATACCGTGTGCATTTATGATAATATGTACAAATGCTGAAGAGAATTGAGTTGTTGGTATTACATGAAATGAGAATAGATATGCACGGAGAAATCGGCCTCTTACATGATGACTTCTGGGCACGTGTGCGTATTTTAGGAAAGGTGCACAGAGAAGGGAGAGCTGATGTTTCTCCACTTTTGTAATTTCCTCCTAACTGTTGAGTGCTGCCTCACGGAAGGCCTTGTTTCTGTTTTGAGAAGACAGAGTAGGTTTACCCAGTTGGCACTGCGATTACTGTCCGTGCCTTCAAGGAAAATTGTTTTATAAGTAATTCTAGAAATAATGAGTTTTTACAACATTGACTTTTTTCTAGTTACGCTTCATATTTTTTAATATCGATCTGACTTTAGAGAAGGTATAAAAAGGTTAATGCCATTTTCGGGCCAGAAATGTCTGTGCTTTTATTTCCGTGTTTTATAAGCCAAGCGCAAGAATTTCCTTGGAAAATAGATATAAAATACCACGTGGTTGGGTTGCAGGAATCAGGTGCTTTTTTGGATGAGATATTTAACATTTAACAACCGAAGCACATAAAAATGAAGATTTGATTAATGCTCACAGTTACTGACCTATAATAAGCTCCCAATAAACGGTGACCTTGGCTCTTTTTGTTTAGTAATTAATTAGCCTGATCCTCGAGGTGGATCAAGAGAAGTAAAGCTTGGAAAGACGTGCTCAAGAAGTTGTAACCCGTAATTTGGTGTCATAAAAATTTGATCAACCCACTGCGCAGTTACGGTTCGACCTTGTCCAAAGAGACTGTGAAGCCAAGAGTTAGCAATAGTGATTTTTAATGATTGCAGCTGGTTTGCTTATTTCCCATTATTTTCATAGTCTTTATATTACAACTTCTTATATTCAATCTTACAGAAGAAATAATAAAACTCGATATTCGTGATCTTCTTATAGAACATGCTGGCAGCTTTCGTAAGGGTTTAATTATCTGTGTGATTACAGAAACTTCAGAAACACAGATCATAGGGCCTGTCTCCTTACTTTTCAATTCTCCTTACCTTCCACTCTTTAAAATCTGTTATTCAGTGGAGACTTTGAGGAGCTCTGCAACACATTAGCAATTTGTTCACTTTTTCCTGGCTCTTAGAATCTAACTGATGATTCCTTTGCCTTCCCTGGTCATTCTCAGACTAGGTTCTTAATGTTGCTTATTAAAAATCCACAATCACGTATTTATTATTTATTTATTTTTAACATTTACTTGTTTACTTTTGAGAGACAGAGAGACAGAGCACAAGCAGGGGAGGGGCAGAGAGAGAAAGGGAGCCACAGAATCTGAAGCAGCTCCAGGCTCTGAACTGTCGGCACAGAACCCGACTCAGGGCTCGAACCCTTGAACCATGGGATCATGACCTGAGCTGAAGTCGAATGCTCAACCGACTGAACCACCCAGGCGCCCCGACGCTCATGTGTTTATTGGTGTGACATAACCCCACAGGGCGGGAACTGTCTAGATTCACCACTGTATCAAGCCACACACTAGGGCACAGACGAATGCTAACGTTTATTAAGCATTGCGTACATGCTGTTCTGATTACTTCTAAGCTCTAATTACAGGAGCTTAAATGAACTCATTTAATACCTTCCGTAGCCTATGAGATAGACATTCTGTTATGTCCATTTTACACATGAGAAAACCGAGAGGCAGCAAGGCAGGCCCAGGTCCGAGAGCTGAAAGGTGGTAGAGCCGAGGCCGCTCCTTGTGTGCCGGCTCCCAAGTTCACACTCTTGGCCGCTGTGCTCTAGAGGATTTTACGGAAGGGAAGGCCTGAGAGCTTCCCTGATGGGGTAGAAGTAGAGATACTCTGTTCTTCAGCCTCCTTCTCTTCATATATTTTAGTACTTCACTTAGAACCCGGGAGCGCTGAAGATTAGGATTTATTGTAGAAAAGTAGGTTATCCACCAGTAGCTTGAATTGTGTCACCTCTTGTTTATATTTGTAAACTTGTAAGTGCTTTGCTATCGACAAGGATGTAAAAAAGTCCTAAGGATTGATCCTTCTGATTCTAGAAGTCAGTCATGTTGAATACCAGGGTTTTTTTTAATTTGTTTTTGTAATCCTTACTCCTTCAGTACGTTTTTACCTTTCTCTTCAAACGCAGATTTTTACTTGAAATCCTATAGCGTATGATTCTAGCAATATGACAGAATAAATATGCATAGCACAGCTTGATGCTTTTGTGAAGGAATCACTTACGAAATTCGTCAGAGTAAAATTTCTTGCCCGACGCTACTTTAAGACTGTTTAACTGACTGGCTGCCTTAACATTTTTTTCTGTCCTACCTACCATGTTTTATGATAATGACCATGTTGTTCAAAACGGAGTTAAGTGAGCATCCGTCTCTCTGCTGCTCCTGCGCCTCCGAAAATGGGGCCGACGTTTGTAGCACCTCCCGGTGTAGACGGCCCGGCAGTGAGGATGGATCCAGTGCACTGCATCGGTGCAGACCCACTCTTGCCTCCTCTGGTCACCCAGCGTTTCCTGACATGGCCAGCGAGACAACATAACCCGCTTAGTCCAGCAGCACTGGAGGTCGTGGCTTCTGTTCACAGATGCCTAACGTGAGGGGCGCCGGGGGCTCAGTCTGTTAAGCATCCGACTTTGGCTCAGGTCACGATCTCACGGTTTGTGGGTTCGAGCCCCGCGCGGGGCTCTCCACTGTCGGCACAGAGCCTGTTTCAGATCCTCCGTCCCTCCCCCATTTATACACTCTCCCCCAAATAAGTACGCATTAACAATTTTTAAAAAAATGAGTACGTAATAGGAATTTTACCGTTAGAGAGTTCATCATTTATGCAGGAGATGCATGTTGAGCACTTACGCAGGTCCAGGCCCCGCCCTGGGTGGGGAAGAGACCAGAACAGCGCGGTGCCCGCCCCGCCGGCTCCCAGTCCCGCAGGCGGGCCGCCCTGGTGTCGCTGGCTCCCCGGGAGGCGCCCGGGTCCCGCGTGTCCGGTGGGGACGCCCCGCCGCGCCGCCCCGGGCCCTGCCCTCGTGGACCGCCCTGCGGCCGGGCCCTCCTTCCCTCTCCGCCTGCTCCTCGCGTCCTGTCCTCACCTCAGGAGGGCCGGACAGGGAATAGGTGGGCAAAGAGGGCTGTTTGAGGGGAAGAGGCGAGGGTGACTGCCCTGTCCCTGACCCTGACCCGAGGGAGTGAATGGCCGCCTTCGTGGACCTGCGGGAGGCGGCACAAAACGCAGAGCAGCAGAGGTGACTGGCCTGCTGCGGGCCTCCTGCGCTGGCAGCTCACCGGACCGCTCCTGAGTAGAGTCGTCCTTAAATACTTAGGAACGTACATTTAGGACGTCCCAAAGGTTGCTGTAACTGGGCCTTTTTTTTTTTTTTTTAGTTTCTTTGCCTTTAAAAAAAATATTTGTTTGTTTGAGTAATCTCTGCACCCAACGTGGGGCTTGAACTCACCACCCTGAGATCAAGGGCTGCGTGCTCCGACAACTGAACGAGCCAGGCGCCCCAGTTTATTTGCCTTTTTATGAGTACTCATCGCTATAGTTTGAACAGGCTCCCACAAGCTCAGGTTTTTTGGTTGCACAGGCTACAGAAATGCTTTTTCCTCTCACAGTCAAGCTAATTGAGAAATTCTGAGAGACCCTAAAGCCAGACTCCTTTTTAGAAACATTTTCTATTGAGGTATAATTAACACGGAGAGACACACTCCCTCACTGAGCATTCAGTTTGATGCGCTTATACATGGGATACTCCTGTTCCCACTACTCTAAACGCCGCTAGCACCCCAGAAAGCTCCTCCTCTGCCCTCTCAGTAACATCCCCACCAACAGTAACTATTCTCTTCTGCGTCACCATTGACTGGTTTGCTTGGTCTTGAATTTAATTAAATGAAAACCATTAGTAAACACAAATACATATATACTCTTTTGGTGACTATTTTTTGTGGCTCAACATCAT